ATATATATATATTTAGGGACCCAAATAATAATAAGAAAATAAATTTGATGACTTTTTTAACATTCTAAAGACTTATTTAAAAATATTTTAATTTCGTGAACTAAAATGATAACACTTTAAAATTCAGAGGTTAGTGTTTACTCATTTATGAATCTCTAAAGGTAGAGATCACTGTTTACTCATTTATGAATCTCTAAAAGTAGAATAGTGGTGATAATGATCATCAAATTTAGGAACTAAATTAATTGGTTTTTATCTATTTTGTATTCACTAAAGTTGGCCTGCATAGCTAGTGATAAGAGATTATTTTTTTTGTGATCATTATATAAATAAATAAAAGTGCAATATTGTATGGTAATACATTGAACAACACTTGTTTAGAAATTATTTAGTGTATTACTCAAATTTAAAATATACGTCATTGTGTATCTATTTACATTTTCCGTATACTTGAGTGAAGTTATGGCAAGTCAAATTAGCAAGCTAAGCTCGTGCATCCACGTTTTTGTTAGCTCATATTTAACAAAACCAAAGAAATTAGAAGTCAATCCCCTAATTGTGTGCACAACCTCATCAAACATCTATTAAATGAACTCATCCATTGGTTACCTCAACCACAAGCATGGCCACCTCTCCCTCACTCCTCTTCCTTTCATGCTTCATACTACACCTTGCTTCTACCCGCATCAATGCCTATTCAAAAGAGAGTGTTGTCCTAAATAAGATAGACTCATGCTGGCGGGCCAAGTCAAATTGGGCATCAAATCGCCAAGCCTTGGCTGATTGTGCAATAGGCTTTGGCAATGATGCTATAGGGGGCAAGTATGGAGCCATATATAAAGTCACAGATCCCTCTGATGACCCTATAAGCCCAAAACCTGGCACACTTCGTTATGGTGTGATCCAAACACAGCCCCTTTGGATCATTTTTGCCAAAGATATGGTTATTAGGCTCAACAATGAGCTTATAATGAATAGCTACAAGACCATTGATGGAAGAGGTGCTAAAGTTGAGATAGGAAATGGGCCATGCATTACTATACAAGGTGTTAGCCATGTCATCATACATGGCATTAGCATCCATGATTGTGAACCAAGCAAGGCTGGCCTTGTGAGGAGTACACCATCTCATGTTGGCCATCGTCTAGGCTCTGATGGGGATGGCATTAGTGTCTTTGCCTCCTCAAATGTTTGGATTGATCATTGCTTTTTGGCTCGTTGTGCTGATGGCTTGATTGATGTTATTCATGCCTCAACTGCTATTACCATTTCTAACAATTACTTCACCCAGCATGACAAAGTAAGCAAAATAAGTTCTTAATTCATTCCTCCTAACTAGCTTGCAAATTGCAATACCATCACCCCCTTCATTTATATATGGAGTATCTTTTTATTATGGATTATGATCCCGTGACAAAAATCAGTTACCAATATCCAATATGTACACCCTTCTCTGCAGGTTATGCTACTAGGGCACAGTGACGAATATACAGAAGATAAAATAATGAAAGTAACAATAGTCTTCAACCGATTTGCTAGTGGCCTAATTGAAAGGATGCCAAGGTGAGAGTGATTTTATAGAATTAATTTTCTTGGAATAGGTGGGAAAAATAACATATTAACTTGTTTAATTTGTAAGCATGCAGGGTAAGATTTGGTTATGCCCATGTTGTAAACAACAAATATGATGGGTGGAAAATGTATGCCATCGGTGGCAGTTCTAACCCAACCATTTTAAGTGAAGGAAACTACTACATAGCTCCAAATAACCCTGCTGCAAAACAGGTAAGGAAAAAAATACAATCAGAGTCAAATGAAACACCCCACCCATTAATACTTAGTAATACATTTTATGTTGGTTTCTTGGATGACAGATTACCAAGAGGGAAAAGAAGGGAAAATTGACGAATTGGAAATGGAGATCTTCTAAGGATGCATTCCTAAACGGTGCTTATTTTGTTCCATCTGGGTATGGAAGTTGTGCTCCAAATTATTCACCCTCTCAATTTTTTACTGCTACACCTGCTTCCCTGGTGCCGGCAATAACTCTCAATGCAGGTCCCCTGACTTGTGTTGTTGGTAAAGCGTGTTAGTTTTGTCTTGCATTTGAATCTTTCTCTCTCGTTTTTTTTTTTTTTCTTCTTGTGTTGACTGATTCCCGAAGCCCTTTAGAAGCATGTATCAAATTGATTTTATATGATATGTAAAGTGTTTTTACTATTTTCTTTCAAATTGAAAAACTTAAGAAGTCGTCATGTATTAATAGTTAGCTTGGAACATGAATACTTGGTGATGCAGGAGTACTTAATATTTTCTGAACTCTGAAGGAACGTATATAAGTACAAGACTAATTAACTGCTTCGCAGCAATATGATGAAAGATTCGTTTCTTAAGGATTGCAGTCAAAAAAAGTGTGAAAGATATGATTCTCCTGCAGCGAAGTGCTTTCTTTCTAATAAACTATAAACTATACATAAAATACAAGCCGACATTAATAAAGAAGACAATATCAAGCTCGAAAAAATTGGGATTCAACTCTATGACTTTGCATTACTGTCGTATAAATAAGTAAACACAATAAAAAAAGTAACAAAAGGAAGATGTGTATGTATGGTTAACATCATTTGGTCGTCTTCAGAATAGTCTATTTTCGTTACTTTGAACTCCACACGTGACTGGTGCTTTAGCTCTCACTTTCTTCAAGTACCAAACAGCAGCTCCAATTCCAAACACACCCGCAACGGAAACGGCAGAGACTGTCCCTGCAGCCACAATTCCAGCACACACAACTACAAACATGAGCGGAGCCTAATCATCCACTTCAAAAACTTGCATCTATATGAACGTTATTTTATATTCTCTCACCTGCGATTACATGGACCCTTCTACTGTGCCTTGCGATATCATAATCTGCCAAACAAACAATAGCCTGTTACACACCTTCCCAATTGAAACTATTGGGGATAGAGACCAAGTCATCTTTTTTATTAGCCACCTATGTAGAAGTTAAACTACCCATTTTAGTTTTAGTTCATATAAGAGCGTATATTAGAGTTTTTTAGAGACTAAAATTCAGGAAACACTAACAAATGAACAGCAATAGCCTATGTGTAATAAGTGATAAGGGTGTACAATATTAGAATAAATTTTAATATCATCTTAAGTTTAACCCATCGTTTCAAAAATGTAAGAATTGCAACTAATTCATGTAATTTCTATTTTAATTATATCACTAGTCAAATATGAGGTTTTTAATATCTATAAGACTAAATTTTAAACGGGTCACTTGAAGGAAAAATTATTAGAGATTTTTAACATCTACAAGACTAAATTTAAATTTTAAATGGGTCCTGGAAGGAAAAATTATTTGTTTAGGTCTTCTAAGATTATCATACTCTTGAACTATCTCCACACCATATATACATGACCAAGTTTTATTAATTCTTTCACTTGAATTGAAGATTTCGGTAACATGTAATGTATAGATCAATGAGGACTATTATATTTGGTAGTTGTGAATTATATATAATAATTTTTTTTTGTAAGAAAAAGACCAAATGATTACTTTAATCTCAAGTAGGAGAATATTAATGTATTGAACATGAACATACCTCTACAATGAGTAGTGGAGTTTCCATCCTTACAGAGACACATGAAACTCTGGTTCTGCGTGTCAAAGCCACAAGTGCCACCACCTTTCAACGGATCCTGACACTGAAGGCAGCGCGTGGTGACCGGGATGTCAAAGTCAACCCTGATCCCATACTCAGGAACTTGATCATAAGGCATAGGAGCACCGACGTTCCTCCAATAAACGCTAGCATAGCTAGCACAATACTTGAGCATCAACCTCAAGGACTCGGTGGCTTTAGGATAGTAAGAGCAACAAGTACTACGAGGGAGCGCAAAGGAGCACCCGGGCAAGTGCCTGCAAAGGTAGCTAGCACTGTCACACGACGAGTCACAGTGTTCGGGAAAGTGCTCGCAGAACATGGGCTTGGGCTGAATGATGACGTCATCTTCGCTGCAGTTGAAGAACATGTACTCGTTCTGTGGAGATAGCTTGAAGTGTGTGCTCGTGTCCAAACTGAAGGGCCTCGTGGGACGAAACTTCTCACCGTCCTCGCAGGTCCACATGAAGGGATCAGTCACCACAACGTGAGGATCTGCGTAGCTTAGGTTCCGAACTGGGTATCTCCCTGAAGGGGTTCTCAGCTCGAGCTTGTTCTCTGAAGAACATGCCAGAATGTGTCTGTAGTATGGGCTTCCGCATCCGTCGTCGATGCCGAATGGGTATTTGATGGGGATGTCGCCGCAGGATGTTCTGCATGTGCTAATTTGAGAGGTTGTGAGACTGAGAATTGATGATGAGAGGATGAGTTGAATGAGTAGTAATGACATTGTGTGATTCGGGTTGTTGTGGCTCACAAGCAAACACATCATACTAGGTACCATAGTTTATGTATAGCGTATAGGAGAGTGTGGAAGAAACAAGGAATAATATGGGTGAAGTGTGTTGCTTTTATAGTCTTCTTTTGCTTTTCATATATATATTCTCTTTTCATTTCTTTCATCAATGTATTTGTTCTCCTTTTGCTTTCTGCTTTGTTAAGCTGATGAGGGAATATGGAGAGAGGGAGAGGATTACAGGAGGATGTAATGATTAATGTCTCTCTCTCTCTGCTCTCTCGTTTTCAGTGAAGAAAATAAATCCAGATAAAATCAATTACATCCTAGTGTTGAATTTAATTATATTTATTTTGTTATTGTGTTACAGGGCAAAGTATTTATGGGTTTCGTGGAACTGATTGACTGACTATATCTTTAGTGGAATGTATATACTCTCCCAAAAATTCTCATCTACTTTACAAAGTTGGAAACTTAGATCTTGTCTGAGAGTTTTGAATCTTTTGATGCAAGTTCTGTTCGATCAAAATAACGTAATATTTATATATTTTTCTAATCTTGTTTATAAATTGTAAAATATAAATTAGCTTTAGTTTATAACAAAATTTTAGTTATTTAATTTTTTTAGTGAGTGTTTATTGAAAACATAAGTTTGTTCAACCTATCTTATATTTTGTATACAATTTAAAAAAAAAAAAAATCTTGTGAAACTACACTATGTCTAATTCTTTAAAAATAAATAAATTTGACCGTTCCGATATTTTCTACGGTGGAAAACATGTGAAGCTCTCTAATCTTAACTAGTACTAAGTATTATAGGAATAATTCTACTTAAATTTATTTTGTTTAATAATTTATATTTTACATTAAATTTTAATTATTTAACTGTTAGAATTAAAATTTTTTAAAATATAAATTAAGTTTGCAAATTTTTTAAAAAATATATAAAATTATTTGATAGTTCATTTATTAATTCAAATTAATGTATAAAATATTTTTATGATTATACGTTTATTTGAATTAATGAAATGAACTATTAAATAGTTTCTAAATTTTTTTAAAATTTGCAGACTTAATTTATGCATTAAGAACTTTAAATCATTAAAATTTGATGATATGAATTATTGAACAGAATAAATATGAATATAGTTCAATAACAATATTAAGTTAAATCAACTAAATTGTATATTTTGATATAAAAGAAAAAAGCAATATAATACTCTTATATCTCCAAGAAAAGAAACATAATTTACTCTATATTTTAACATAAGAAGAGAAAGTAATCTAATACTACAACAAAATTTATAATTAAAATATATAAATAAAAATATAATAAATATTGTGTTGGAGAAAAGTAAATATAAAAATATATTTTATATAAATTATTTTATAAATAACACATCCTTATCAATTATTATATATTAATGAGTTGTCTTAACTCGACGTTTAGAACGCGATTCCCACATATGTCATTTTAGTAATCTAAATACATTTAATCTCGAATAGTTTATCTTTTATTTTTATGAATATATAGAAACACATATAATATCTCTTTTGCACGAGTAAAATATAAAGAGAAGACAATATTAATTTTTAGTCTCGACTCATTTTATCCTTGAATTATTATCATGCATTGTAAATTTGTAATTGCACATATTTATTGTCTAGTTCTTTTAAAAGTAATGCTACTTTATAAATTATATATTCTCGTTTTCTTCATTTAAATAAAAGGTTGAACTACTCATATCAACGCTTAGATATCATTTTTTATCATTATTGTTGTAATTTTTATTGATAAAAAAATAAAAATAAAAGGTTGGACAGAAAGTGACCACCGGCGTGTCTGAGTCCAATGGTATTAAACTATTAATCCTAGGATCATGATATATACACCTCCTTTTTTTTTAATAAGTACACCCCTTTTTTAAAAAAATAATTAAATTCTTAAAAGATTTTTAATTTTTAGTTTTTAATTTTACACTCCTAATATTTAATTTAACAATTTTTAATATTTTTACATGTATTTCTTTAATTTTTCTTCACTCTCACCTATTTTGGTAGGTAATTTTAATTTTTTTAATTTTATATTATTTTTTTCCTTCCTCTTTCAATTTTCTCACTGATTTCACTATCTGCATAGTACTTTAGAATAGCAAAAATATCTTTTTCATAACACTAAACTTAATGTTAAGGTTTTTGAAGGAGTGAAAGGAAAGAAAGTGATAGAAGTAAAAATGTGTGTCTAGTTTGATAAAAATTATTGAAGAAGTTACATGTAACTACAATTTTGTCGCCTACCAATTCTATAATTTGGGTGCATGTGAAAAAGTGAAAGAGGTGAGAAAATAAGAAAATAATATAAAAATTGAGAGAACTAAAATTACTCATTGAAATATGTGAGAAATTAGAAAAAAAATATGATGGTATATGTAAAAACTAGGGAAAAAAAAAGATATATATATCATTAACCTTAATCCTAGTACCAAATCAACTGGAATCAGGCCCAACAAACTGATTCCCCAGAACAAGAAAGAAATGTTGGGCCTCTTACTTAAAACATCAAAACCTAGTTTTCTGTCTAATAGCAATTGAGTTCTCGTCATCTGATTTTTTTTTTTCTTTCAAGATCCTTTGCCATAATGAGTCTAAACTTATTTATTTACAAACCTGTTCCATTGCGTTTAGCTGAATTGGACTTGGGCTCTGGTTGGGTCCAAGCACCATCAAGCTCAAGTATCACACTTTATTGGTCAATTTGTATAAATTTTAAAAAATCACAATTCAATCAATTTGAGCTCGTAATATTTTAAAATGAATTGATTGAATCGTGATTTTTTTAAAATTTGACTGCATATTTTATTTAAATCAATTCACTTTTTAAAATTTCAATTTCACAAAATTTCAATTGATTGTATTTTTTTATTATTTTTAAAACTAACATTAATTAAACAACAGATAAGTTTGCAGATATAATGATTATTTTGTATTATGTAAAATTAAATATTTAAATATAACTCTAGTCCTCAATAAAATTGATTTTATTTGTCAATCTTGTAGGAGGTAGACGTGCATTCAAGCCAATAATAATTGTAAGAGCATCTCTTATTGTGGTTATTATAAGTAATTTATTAAAAATTTTATTTTATTTTTAATGAGATCCATCATGTTACATTATTCTTAAGAAACTCACATTAAATTTTACAAATTTTGCTTTAATGATGAGATCTATAAACAATCCACACTTTTATAATTTTTTATTTAAACTTCACTTTTTAATAACTTAAAAAATTAATGTAATTATTATAATTAAATATTAATTTAATTAAACACAATAAATAATATTTTAACATATAAAAAATCAATAATAAAATTTACACAATTAATTTAATGCATATAAAAACATTAAATATTTAAAACAAAGAAATTATATAACAATGAGTGAAAGAATCAAAACTAAAAAAAAATTATTTTTTTCATTAATAATGTTGCTTATTTAAGAGTTGCTTATTTTTAAACAATTTTTTTATTTCATGTCATTATACTTCAATGAAATTTATTTATAAAAATTATTGCTTATTAATAAGATGCATCACAAGCACTCTTTATTAGAAATGCTCTAACAGGTTTTTTTTTTTGTTCGTCCCTGGAGTATCCACTGCCGACAGCAGTGACTAATCTCCTCGCTACGTTGGAGGCACCTCAAAGGGTGGGATAGCTGGCCCCAAGATTTAACGCGGCTGCATACACAAGGCAAGATTCGAACCCCTGACCTTGCTTAAACGTGGATCACAAATTAAATGTCACTACAAAAAAAATGTGTGATTTGTGGCGGTTATTTTGGCATTTTCTGGCGGTTAAAAACCGCCACAAATCGCATTACCGGCGTCCATCAAGTGTCGCCAAAAACGGTTCGTGGCGTAGATTTTTTTTTTTTTTTGGTTCGTCCCTAGAATATCCACCGCCGACAACAGTGACTAATCTCTTCGTTACGTTAGAGGCACCTCAAATGGTGGGATAGTTGGTATTGGGCGTCAGAAAATTCAATCATTTTGTGGGGGTTTTAAACCGCCACAAAACTCATCTAAGTTTTTCCCAAACATTTCCGGGGTTTTAACCGCCACAAAATTCCTTGATTCAATATTTTCTGGCAGTTTGAAACCCCCACAAAATTCATCTAAACTTTGCTTGATTTAACATTTCTGGGAGTTTTAAACCGCCACAAAATTATTATTATTTTTTATTTTGAAATATATTTGGAATTATTTTAAAAGCGCGTTTTTATTAGAAATTGATAAATAATAATATATATTTTAGGTATTTATCAAATTATTATTTAAAATTGTCACTAACCATATTAATCATTGAAAATTAATAATGACTATTATATTGTTATTTAATTCAAGTAACTTATAAATAAAATTTTACTTGTCGAATTTTAGGATCACTTATTGTTATTTTTTTTTTTGTTGGTCCCTCAAAAGCTTCCAAATATCTTGGAAGTGGAAAAGGTGTGAATAATCAGCTATATATCTAACTTTGTTTGGACAATCTGGACTTGCTGTTTTTACTATTGGTCTGTGTTTATTGTAAAGGAGAACTACAATGTTGATAGCCATATAAAATTAAGCAGATGACTTTGATTGTCCGGAGTCTGGTTAGATTATGATAAGGAGCATATTGATAGACATGTAAAATACATACCATATATTTTCTAGATCAGATAAATCTATTAAAATAGTAACTGATAGTGCATGAAGTTGTTGTTTATGCTCACAATGGCAGGTCCTTATCATATACTACCTAATATCCATGTATCTCAATCTTGGTAAATTACTTTTTAAAATTTAAATAAAGCATGTATGTGCTTTAGAAGCCTGAAAAGCTGAAACAACAATTGAATTGAACTCGTAAGTTCAAATTTTGGAGTTAATATTTCTAAGTTGATTATATAAATTGATCGGTTATTATCTATTTGCATGATCAATGCTACCAGATCTCTCCTACCTAATATACCAACATAACAGTGATCAGTTCATGTTGGGAGTAATTTTACAATTTACATTTAGT